AGTGCAATTTAACGGTTAATTTGCAATTAAATAATGGGTTTTCATGTGGTAAAACCAAACTTCTTTGGTCCCCGTTTAAGACCGTGTCATATTAATTTCATTTCTGCTATAATAGTTAAAAACGTTATTGATTAAAAATATGAGCAATAACATACGTATGTATTATATCGCCAATAAAATTCTAAAATATGTCAGTCATTTGTAGAAAAATACTCACTGCACAATTTGATAAAGTCGTGTAAGATAATGTAAAGGTATGTTCTCGAACATCAGTCTATTAATGAACAAGTAATTGTGAAATCAACTAAGTGTGTAAACCAATAACCAAACATAGAACATCCCTACAATCACACTTGAATTGTACTGAAAATAAACACGTGGGATATTATTGGAATGCACACAGTTTCATTCAAAAGGAACGTTTTTCTTAATCCGAGATCGTAATTTATCGTTCTCGTTGATAATATTCTATCTTCATTCCTAATTTCATTAATAATATTTCATAATTTTTAAACAATTTCACCTACTTTTTTAAGGAATGAAGTCGCTTTTTGTATCGAAAAGGAATATTAGTGAAAGTGGTATTGTATTTCTCTATTCATTATTACACTTTTAAATCCTCTACCTCATTAGTGAACTTCTATTGTATCTTTACTACTAGCAAAAGCGTACATTATACAACCGCCCCCCCGAAATAGTATATTTTCAACCTTTCCAAAAATCCCACATAGCAGAGAAAATAGCATTAAATAAAATCCCATCTTTACAATGGGTGTTTATTTAATGATTCCCATTTTTCTAAAGGAAATTAATTTAATGAAAATAATAAACAAATAAATAATGAACGTGTACAGATACACAAGTTGAAAGGGAAGGATGGTAAAAAAAATTGACAGAAACGTTTAGGTTTTTCTTGAGTCAAAGAATTCAAAGTGTCTTATCTATACACTGCTTGTGAAAACATGTTAACAAAACGCCAAGTTCTTAATATTTTATTACTAATGAATATGAAGAAATTATCGAAAAGAAAAAAATGTAAGCGGGAACCCTCGGATGCGCATCTTCGGATTTCTGCGGGACTCTGGAATCCGATTGCACTTAACTTCCGCAAATAATGATAAGTATACTTTTTTGTCATAATTATAGGTCTCATATACAAAGATGGTAATATTGAAACAATAACACCCCCATAGTTGACAATGACACATATTGACACTAGTTATACGACGTTTTGTGTGCAAGGAAGGAATATTCCAAATGTTCCTAGATTTCTCAAAATTAATATTTTCCCACACTAACTCTGATCCATCCAAACAATCTTTCGAGAAAATATCCGAATGACGACTAATTTCACAATATTGATAGATTTCTTCCTTTCCCTAAAAAGTGTTTCCACGGACGTACAATATTTCTTATTTATATTTCGACAATAATTGCTGCTACTGTAATTAAAATTGCTTAAAAATTGTAACGTAATTATTATGTTAACAAATGTTATAAAAATTGTAACGATTTTTAAGTTGCTATAATTCATAAAATATTCTGCGGCTTAAGGCGAACTTCCTTCATCTTTGGTTGTCACCGTGTCAATGTTCTTGAAATTAATAACGCCGCCACTGTTACTGTGCAACGTTCCTCAAATGTGTTGGTCTAACTGCCTTAGATACATGAACTAATGTGTAACGAAGATTACAGCACGCCAGTGGAAACAAAGTTTTAAGAAGAGCTACACGTCTCAGTAGACTCGAATTATATTCTAAAATGCATTATTAAAAGCAATATCCTTCAAGAGTCGTTTCACAAGAGACAAGAGAATTTTCCATCGGCATGAAATAGAAATTTCATAATTAGGGGTGCTACATCATACCAGGGGCTCGTGGCTAGCTCTTGGTCAGCTTGCTTGCTTTCCACTACTTCCCCCCCGGGTTCGATTCCCGGTCAGGCAAGAATATAGTGTGCGGTATCTTTTCAATGTCTCAGTATATGTTGCTGTGTGACGATGAGAAAATTCACTTCTGAGGTTGAGAACCGGTTGAAGACCGGAATTCGGCGTGGGGATGTTTACGTGTTAACCACACGCACTCCTTTAAGCCATGGCCGCGAGGCAGGGACGACGCCGGTAGGCCTGAGCCCGTTCACGCCTTCCCATAATTGTTTTCCAATTGACAAACTATACAGAAATTGTTGTAGAACAATATTTAGAGACCATTTCGGCAAATAACGACGGTAGCCTGAGCCCGTTCACGCCTACGTCGCGCTGCGCCAAGTACTTTCATACATACAGACATAGACTTGAAATTATAAGTTATTTCACAATATATTTTCAATGTTTGAGATTCTTTTGCAAAACTCTCTTTTCCTAACTGCTTCAATGTAACATTTTAAGTTCATGTCATAATGTCTTCTAACACACCCACATCATAAAAAATATTCATTGTATTGCGAAATATCAGCGCGTTAAACAACGCTGAATCGGATTGGCGAATCTATGAAAGTCAGTCATAACAACAAAGATAAAGGTCTTGTCATCACAGATTTAAACTATCTGGCATTTCTTCCCATAATTGAGCTTTTCCAATTGACAAACTAAACAGAAATTGTTGTAGAACAATACTTAGAGACCATTTCGGCAAATAACGACGGTAGCCGTTTTCTTGCAGTAATATGTACACTTTGCACTACATTTAATCAGAAACACCATTTCTTCACATTTTCTTAACTTTTTTGGATCCCAAATACTTTAAAAGTGGTGAGAATACAATGTTACATGAAAAGTTCAAAGAAAGAATTTCAAACATTTTTGGGTGGAATGTCGTTTGAGTGTTTCTCAAAATGCGTCATTTTGGACTCGCTAACACTCGAAAGTATTTAGTTTTTTAGAAGTTTTATAGGAGATCATTTGAATCGAATTCGTATTCCCGTTCTTTGCAACGAGTTAACCCATTGTAGGAAAACTAGTATATCGGAAACAGCATTGCCGCCTGCCTTTTCGTTGACTAAAGGTCTAGGTTCGTCGGTAAGTTTCAAATCAAAAAGAGGGGGGGAGGGGAGTTGCCTCTCGAGCTCCTATTGGGAACGGATGCAGAAATGAGGAAAGCAGGGCCGGCAGAAGTGAATCGACTCCACACTACGCTGGACGATGGTTGGTGGCAGTTGTGGGTAAAATGGGAGCAGCGAAATAACTTGTGGACATTTGGTACAAAGACAAACAAATCATATTTTATAAATTTATAATTTTTTTCTACAATTACTTCCCGCGATTGTTACTCAATGTAACCAAGTTTCTTGACATCTCTTTTACAGATTACAGCTTTACAAAAGAGTTTTACGGCTCAACTAACACATTTTCTGTGTGACGTAAGGATATAGCTAGTATTTTTAAGACGTTTTAATTTCGTGGCTAATAACAATGATATACAATTATTATCACATCCACTGGTTAAAAATTAGGTAAAAATATAAAACGCTAGTAGCTGAGTATCCTCTTTAACCAGTACTAAGATATTTATCAGTGGGAGAAATCCGTTAATATATGTCGCGTGGACGATTGCCATAGCAACTGAATTCTCCATCCTACAGTATTTCTGCTCGCACCAACCGCCGTCCGCCGTCTGCGGCAGGGTGTGGCGGGGTGAGACGGGAGAGGCCGGTCGCGTGGGGAGGGGTGGGGGCCGAGGTGGGGTGGGGGAGGGGAGAAAGTAATGAGTTTGAAGGCGGGCGGTTGTTCAGAGGCTGGGCGGGCGGCTGTGAGAGCCACGCTCCGTCTGGCGCAGCCAACCCTCCGCTGTAAAGGTCGAAGGCGGAGGGATGCGCCACCGTATTTCACCAAAGACGAACACGTGGGCGCGGGGTTGCCAGATGGCATTTACAGAGAGGACGCGGTGTCTTTACCCATGAAATCAGTAAATGTAGTACCTATCTTCACAAACTCAGTAATTATAAATTTTTAGTGTGCCCATTGCTAAGTAGCACTTAAAACTGAAGTTAAACCAAACAGATATTATGGTTTCTGAGTATATCTTGTACTCTAGAAGCGATAAATTATCTAGTTTGTTTAAATATTATATACTTTAATAAAAACCAAAATATAATGCAACCTGTAGACAATCCATAAAACGTAGAGTTAATTTAAGCATTTTTTTCAAATTGTATTAATGGCAAGAATATATACATATCTAAATAATTCCGAAAACACTTTACATGACGATTATGCGCGTTAAATAATTTCGCTCATTCTGTTAGTAGAACAACTGAAAAATTTTATTGTGAATGCATGTGAAACAAGTGTGTGTGCAATGAACACGTTGTTCTCAATTAAGGGCTCCGCGGGTGTGAAGTCGCCCGTCAGATGGTATGCAGCCTGCAAACGCATCTGGCAACCCGCAATTACCTCCAAAAGGCCACAAAGGAACATCTAGGAGGTCGGGGAGATACGTAAGTACGTAACGGGAAATGAGCTAGAGAATCCTATGACAAAGCAGTTGTCAAATTAAGCACATTATGTACCTAATTCTCACATCTTTATGAGGATCAACAGCAAAAGCAAGCAAGAAAGCCATACAAATCGCAAAAATCCAAAAAAGAATCGAGAAAAATGTTTGAACTATTGTACGGCACTTACGACTAAGCAAAACATCTAACACAAAAAGGGTGTAAAAACGCACTCTGTGCTAACACATGAAAGTCAAGAAAAGCATGTAGACATTATTTCACCGATAATTCTGAAAAGGTTTGCCATCTCTGACTTAAATAATTTGAATTTGATCTCCAGTTACTCAAAAATATTATTTCAATGAATCAAAAAACAAAGCAACGAAAGCAATTTAACAATTTTGCTTTCCTAGATTTAAATGAACATTAACCGTTAACAACCATCGGTTTCAAAATAAGCCATTAAGAACAGTTTTCAACAAAAGAAGTTTATCATCGAGTCCTTTTCAATTCGCTGCCAACACAAGTATTTTAAGCTTTATATTTGGAGTGCGAGGACTCACCCACGAATGGAGGCGGAGGGCGGCACGGGCGGCGGCGGCGTGGGCGTGGGGCGTCGAAGGCGGCGGCCGCGAGGGGCGTGGGCGCGGGGCGTGGTGCGCGCGCCGCCGCCGCCGGCCGACGCCGCGTGGCACGCTCTCGCTGCTCTTCTCGTGCCCGCCATGGCCACCTTGAGGCCCTGGCCGAAGGGCGGCGGCGACGACGACAGCAGCAGCCCCTCGCGGGAAGGCGTCGGACGCTATGCGTCGGACGCCGTCAGGTCGCTTGGCAACGGCGAGGTCGCGTCGCCGCCTTTGCACGTGCCGTCGCCATCGCCGTCGCCGGCGTCGGTGCCGGACCAGCCCCTCCTGGCCCTCCTCGTCCCTCGTTTAGATGACGAAGTAGGCGAACGTCAGGTAGATGACGGACACGATGAAGGACGGATGGGGATGCCATGGCGTACACCAGGGTTCATGTACACCTGGTGCATGTCCAGCTCCGAGATGACCAGCCCGGGTCCACTTGCTGTAGTAGCACGAGAAGTTGGAGCCACGGAGCCGTACAGGTCGAAGAAGACGCGCTAGCCTCCAGCATGGGCGGGTAGCCGCACCCCTTCACGTTCGGGTAGAGCTTGGCGCCCACGTAGAACCACTCGAGTCGTTGCCCTGCAGACCGCGCTCCGCTGCAGCTCCTCCAGCCAGGTTGTCGGCGGCCGCCTCTTCCTCCTCCTCCTTGAGGATGTCCTCGGAGAGGTAGTCGTACTCGCCGGATGGCGCGCGGCGCGCGCCGCGGCCGGCGTGGTCGCGGGGTGACGGCGCGCGTGGAAACGCGGGTCGCGCCGGCCCGCCGCGAGGTCCCCACCCCGCACGCCGCCGCCGTCGTCTCCGTGGCGTTGTCCCCCTCCTCGCCAGCCTCCTCCTCCCCCGCGCGGCCGCCCCGGCCGCCGCCAGCGCCAACGCCGTCGGCGCGGGTGAATCCGAAGCCGAGGGCGAGGCGAAGCGACGCCGGCAGCGCCGGCGGGGGCACCAGTTTGTAGTTGACGCGCACCTGGTGCATCGGATAGGAGGCTCTTTGGTGCAGCCCTCGCGGCACGAGCTCCACGTGCAGTTGGACGCGCTACTACCAACGTTCCGGACTCGGTGGTCACGCACCACGCGGGGTGGCGTGTCGAACTGCATGAAAATGGTGGTGAAGGCGGGGTCGATCACGAAAGGCACGAGGAAGAGGAAGGCGAAGAGACTGAACGTGCCCAGGAGGATGAAGAAGGCCGTGGTGTAGAACAGCAATTTTCTGCTTTCAGCGTCTGCGGGATGATCTCCTCCTCCACGTCGGCCATGGTGGTGGTTCGGTGGCCGCGCGCTTAAGAGGACGGGGGCTCGGGTGGCTGCTTGCGTCGGCTGCGCTGCGCAGCGGATGGGGCGGCGGTGCAGCGGCGGCGGCGGGCGCACACTGCGGGCCAAGGGCGTGCAAGTGGATGACGGGCCGTGTGCGGTGCGGGGGCTAGGGCTGATGCTGGACGAGCGGCTGCGCGGCGGCTGCCTCTGGGGCGGCGCGGTGCGGCGGCGCGGCGGCGCCGGCGACTGCGCTGGCGCATGGTGGGGGGCGGTGGCCGCTCCCCGCGCCGCCTGGCAGCGCCTGGCAGGGGCAGGGGCGGGCGTGGCGGAGGGGGGCGGTGGCGGCGTGCAGGCGACCGCCTGGTGGTGGCAAGCGGCGCGCCGGTCAGCGGCGGGGCCGCGGGGGCCGCGGGGGCGGGGGCGGCAGGAAGCGGCTACGCTCTCTCGCCCTCGCCCTCGCTGCGCCCCCAAGCGCACCGTCCTCGCTGCCCCAAGCGCATCGCCAGGGAGCGAGGACGGCTGACGTTGCATGCATGGCTCACAAGCGTGTCAAAAGCTTCTGCTCTCCTTCTCTCTGTGGTTTCCGATACTGATAGCAAAAGCAAGTGGGAGGCGAGGAAGTAAGGGATACGTTGGGAAAGATCCTGTATGAAGCCTGGTAGCCTTACTTAAAATTAATTTTCACACAACAGAAATAACAAAAATTATTTTAAAAGGAAGTAAGTCTTACATAGTGTACTCAAATTGATCACAATTTTAACAGAGGGTATTTTTTTAATAGAAGTGAAGAAAATAAATAGCCTGTTTCGTTAATTCCCCCTCCCATCAAACTACTGGAACTCATTTTTAGATGAGACTGAGCATATATTTATTCGGCAGTTAGCACATATACAAAATTCTAGATCTCCCCTCAGACTTTGCTTCTGAATATCTATTATTCCTATCCTATCGACTATTCGTTTCGTCAGGTCAGAACAAAAGAATTTCAAGAATTTCCTCTATACCAAAGAATCAGAGACGAATTACCCCGATGTTTTATAGCTATAGTTTTATTGATTTTTTTGGATACCGTCTTGACTTGCAGTAGTTTCTCATAGAAACCGGATAGAATGCAAGCAGTGCTATGTAAAACTCAAATGTCGCAAAATAGGAGACACAAGCAAAAAATGCAATCTCAAATTTAATTGTGCAATTCTGCCTATTTCTGCGTTTCCCATACTGACTAAATTCGCAGTGCATCGATATTTAGGGCATAGCTCACGTCATGTAACAGCAAGGCTTCAAGGAATCCACCGAATATTTTCTTTTCATGTGTCGCTTCACGGAACAACTATGTATACTATATGTACTATATATACTCTATATGTAGACTCTACCACGATATTGAAGTCTAACGTAACTGTTGTTGTTTTGTTAAAATATTTAACTTATTACAGTGATATTCGGGAGTATTTTATTTGTTTATTTGTCGGCGCACTACTTTTTAAAAATATTATTTCATGTAGTTGTGTTCAGCAATATTTTTGCTGCTACGGGTCACTAATATTACATAACCCTGATTAAGTATCTTCGGTTCGCCAAATGACTGACACTTTCCACTTGTAGACGCGCGTGTGTAAGTAAGTCAATCGAAAACAATTTGGGTTCAACGAAAAGGGGCTCAGAAAATACGATTTTAAGAACATTAAGTTAGGACTAAATGGAAGGATTTCAGCGGAAGGCATTATTATGTAAAACTTGATGAATAACAAATAACAGATACTTGCTTAAAAGTATCGTTTACAATTTCGAATTGAATACTGACATGTCATTTAATTACAAGGTTTTCATTTTCAATAAGCGCGACACATATAAGTGTCTTCGCTCTATAATCATACTCTGCACATTTATTTTCACAGCACTGACTGAACTGTTCAGTTTTCAGCGTCTAAGTCAACACACTTCTGAAACGAATTTAATTACGATACGTGATTGGCTCTCGAATACCAGCAACCTTCCGCTGAAAGGATTCTTACAAAATTGAAAGAGAGCAGAGGTAAAACTCAGAAAGCGCACTCATAATTAAAGAGATTAATTCCAAAGTGACGCATCTACATGAAATACAATTTTTCCGGATTTGAAAGTATTCATATTCATCCTTACAGTTCAAGATTGGATTCAATGACTTTGGGACAGCATTTAACCCAGGAGAAATATTTTGCAATATTTCAACACTAAGTCTACGAGATGAAGCGTCGTAAGAATACACATAAAAATAGAAAACAAATGGAAGTAGAGATACGTCGCCTTCCAAAATGGCTCTTCAATTCTTTTCATAAATTTCTGAAACATCTGTCCATTTGCCAAAGAATCTAATGCGAACGCAAATGCATATGTACTTTACATTATTAGGTCATTAATTGTAAGCATTTGTGGATGTATCAACCCTATAGTGCCAATACTACAATCGATCTCTATCCCACGATCGATTGCAGGATATTTATTGTTGTTGAAATGGTTGAAATTCGAACTATTGATTTTGTGCGTTGCATTCTGGATAGCAATACAATTATTTTATATTTATTTTCTATTGTCATAATTAATTCACCAGATTTTCAATTTAATATAAATCAACAGCTAACATGTAAATGAATAAATTAAACGAGTATTTTATAGGTCTTTTTATATTAATGGTAAAATGTAATACGTAATGTATTAAGAAAATGTAGTGTAATTTAAGTCATCGGTTTCATCATATGATTGTTATAAAATATAACTCCAACTTGTTAATGCTTTACAAATTGCATACGTAGATTAGTTTCGGGCAGTAATGAAACCCAGATGATATTTAAATAAGGTTACCGAGACATTCTACAGTTAGTTATCTAATATTCATTTCGGAAGTTGGTCCAATTTGGTTGGTTTCGTGCCACTTTCGGAAGTTTAAGGCTACCTAATTTCACTTCACTGCAGCTGCATTGTAATCTGGCATAAAACCAGGCAGAATATGCAACTAGCGAATCAAGAAAAAAAATTGAACTTTCCAACATTTTCGTTTTTGTTATCATCTCACTTTCAAACTTCTATCCTCATTTATATGATATTCAGCATCATTTTAATTATATGTTTATTGTCTACTGACGTAATTAAATACTTTCATTTAATAACTCACTAAATCTGAAACTTCATTTGTGTTTGTTATTTTTTTATGAACATCCGAAACCAATGCACCTCAATATTTTTACTGATTTATTTCACCCTTAAATCAGTATTTGGTCTTTAAACAACTGTAATATAATGTTCAATTATTACATAGCTCAATATAAATTCTAATTATATCAATACTATGAGTTTCCACGTAATCAAGTTCATTTTTCTACAACTTCAAGAAAGTATTTCTATTACTTCGTCATAGATGCTGTATTTAATGAAAATGAATATTTAAATCAACATTTTGAACCATACGACATAGAACGAATTAAATGTACACGAAACAAATTCCAAGAAACGGCATCAGGCCAGATAAATGGATTCAAAGATAGCACACACAATTTTCGAATCGCCGTGACATGACGTCATAGTAGGCATTTTGCCATACGAAGGAGTATGGCGGGATAGCCTACTCTCAACGATGCAGTACTAGCACGCTTTCTAAATATTGCTAGGGAATCGATAATCGACGTAGATTTTGTTTTTAAAGTCTACAAAATACAGCACACTAGAAGCCAACATATAAAAATAATACTTCTAAATCTACTCATGTATACGGAAATTAATAACAAAAGCAGAAATGTCAGAACTGTTTTCGAAACAGGATGCAAACGTTGACGGTATACAAGCAACATAACAGTTTCAAGCCCATCCATGTCAAACATTCATTGCAAGCGTGGAAGCAATCTATGCCGAGCATATAATATACGTGACTGAATATATATATACTCTTACGTGAATGTAAATCCATTTCTCATACTTTACGAAAACAATGATGTGGACAATTAGTCCCTGAGATTGTGGCAAATCATTCGGAAAGGAAAATTCTACCGAGCCATCAATTATTATTATTAAACAATCGAATACATCGTTTATACTACAACATTGATTAACATAAATAACTCCTGCTTTTAATTTGTTTTGTAATATGTATTAATTTAATTTGTTTGTTAATGGCTTTTTAGGAAGGTTTTTTTCCTTTTTCGGTTACTTCTAAACCAATCACAAAAGGTAGAACACAGTGACAAATGTATTCAAAGACGTACTTAATAAAAAATGCG